ATGTTTAACTAACATGTATAGTCACATCAGTAAGGTTAAGACTGTCAGTTTACTAAAGTCTGCTCTTGTGAATTCATGCATGCTGTAACTAACCTAAAACTTTCTCAGTGGAGTCAAAATTGCCTGCTGAGTTATATATATATAATAAAATTTTCAATCTTTCATAGGTAGGCTATTATGCTATAAACTCAAGGTTGCCCAAGTTTCCACAAATTCAAATTTGCTTAAGTTTTTTAAGTTTTGGGTTAAAAATGATCATGTTATCCATAATAATTTAAGAATTAAAAAGAACATCTTGTGCTTCAGTGGAAGCAAGAACATCTGACCTTTTTTTTTTTTTTTTACAATGGAATTAAAGTGGCCAGTGTCGCAAATATTCTAATTTGATTAGTGACAGAAATAGTGCAGCATCTACAACATTTCTTCTAAATTAGACATCAAACTCTTCTCTTTTATTTTCTATTATTTTGTTTTACAGTGTTAAGATTTTCAGTCTCTTTTGTCATTCATTTTAACTATTAAATTTTTTTTTTTTTTTTTTTATTGGCAGCATTATGAAATAAGGAAAGGTGCGAAATTAAACAACAGCTGCAGTTGACTTTCATGTGTTAAAAGTATTGACGTTCTTTCTCAAACACCCCGAGAATTCTCTGATGATGACACGCCACTTGCTCTTGTGAAGCAACACGTGAGCATCTCTGTAAAAGACTGACAGTTTGAGGATGACATGTCCAAAGGATCTGTGGCATTTGGGGCTGAGAGAGCGCACTGCTCTCACTGAATCACAGCGCTGCTGTCAGTATGCGCTCTTTATAAGCGAGTTACTTCTCATTAACGATTGGAGACACGAGAAATTCTTCTCATCATCTAAATACTGGCAGCGAATATCGACGATATCAGTGCTGAACTGTACGCACGGTGGAGGACAGCGCCTGAGAACTTCATTCAGCGGAGAGGCATTAAGCTGACACCCGATGTAAGCGTGTCATCCCCGGGGTACTTTTAGGATGCAGAGATCACCTGTGGAGGATGCCAGCTGCCTCTCAAAATACTTTTTCTGGTAAGATGCAACCAAAATATGAAATGTTTTAGATGTTCTGTGTGTCCACGTGTGTACTAACAACAACAAAATGTTGTGTTTAGGACACGTGTGTGTTTAAATAGGCTACCAGAGATATTTTTCTTGTTTATTCACATTTTTCTAGTGTATTCACACGTGAAGGCTACACAGACTACACCTGATGACTGATATATTCATAGAAACATTTAAATAACGGCCACGTTTCATTTCATACCTCGTTCTGACCCCCCTAAAGAAAGGGGGGTCTTTTTCTTTTTATTGCTTTACAAGTGTATAGGCTGCATAGGCAACACTTTTAAACAGTGTTTTCGAACAACGCTTCTACAACCTCAAAAGTTCAAAAGTTAATTTAACCAGAGCAAGCAGGTTGCAGTAAACGTTCACAACTAGAAGTTGGGTTCGACTGAGGTGGTAACCATAGCAACAGTGCGCAGTTCGAACGCTTTCGTTATTTAGAATTACATAACACAGTTATCGTAAAAATCTCAAATTTTATGTGTTTAAGGGTTCTAAAAGAACATGTTTGTGCAAGAACAACATCAAATCAAGTTCTTACTCCAGCGTGTTTATAGAATTGTGCATAATCATCGATATCATAAAATAACTATGCATACATCTCCTTAAAAATAACTAAAGTTCACTTTAATTAAAATAAATCACAATATTGAAGTTTTCAACGTTTGTTCTGACTGTTTACAGGTGGACAAACCCTATAATGAGAAAGGGTTTTAGGGAGAAACTGAGGCTATCTGATGTTTATCAAGCTCCCAGTCAAGATGCAGCAGACATTCTTGCAGAGCGTTTGGAGAAGTAAGTATTTGTGTTCTTACCTTTTCCTGACACTTTAATTTGTGATTTTTAAAATGTTATTTAAAATTGATTTATTCATATACCCTCATATAGAAAAGACCACATTATTCTGGTGAATGAAATGTGTTTATTGCATTTCCAGTTACATTCCATTTAATTTGCATGAGCATTTATTTATTAATATTTATTAAGGACAATTTCATATTTAAAAATAATATATATTGATATTTCCTCTGTATTTTGTTGTTAATTGCTGAGTATATTTTCTCAGTGTCTCCTCCATTCAGTAACCGGAACTGGAATGAAAGAACTTTGACTCACATTTTTGTAAAGTGAGCAAATTTACATAATGAAGTGACTCAAACAGAGCTCACAGTCTTGGTTTCTATTGTGACTTTCAGTGTCCTCAAAGCTCCTGTTACTCACTAGAGCCAAATATCACACCTTTGGGTGTTTGTGTGATGTTTTTTTGACAAAAGAAGGGAGAAAAGAAGAATAAAATGTAGGCAACCCCCTTAAATGTCACCCTGCCCATTCCAGTAAAGTTCCTTCCATGCCATGTCTCACATAAACCACAATACATCCATGCCAGTGCCCTGCTAATGGGCATCAAATGCGACCTTTTAAAGTGCCAGGCTCCTGGTGAGTGATAGATGATGAGCATTTCTGTTATTCCTCTAATGTGCAGTACTGCTGGGAACTTTTTATTCAATTAACAGGTTGGAGCGGTCTCTGCCGTTTCCCCAAGCTTGTCAAGGTCTCTTTGCTCTGTTTAATAAGTTCGCTAAATCACCTTGGTTTTATAGGAGTGCACCAAACAATGTGGACTATACCCATTTTATTGTGGGTGGATGCTGTTTAACTGTTCCATTCAGTTTTCTTTCTTTCCCTAAACAGAGAATGGGACAGAGAAGTTGCATCTGGAAGGAAAAAGCCCAGTCTACTACGAGCACTGGCACGATGCTTTATACGACCATTTTTGTTATTTGGCTTCCTCCTATATATAGGCGTAAGTGTCCAAATAGTTTCTTTCTGTGGCCTTTTTTTTGTTCTTGGATTGGAGTGTTGATCTCTAAATACAACAGCTTAGTGCAAGAGAGTTCAAATGCATGAAGTGTATATTTCGTTAATTTGTTTGCACATGGGTGGATATTGTTGGCTCACTGGTATGAAGTTGTGTGGTTCCAAGTTGTGTACTGCAGGTAACAGTACAGTATGGCTTTCCCAGTGAAGAACGTACAGCATCTGACCTCTTGCTAGATTTTCTTCCACTTCTCACTTGATTAATTTTTTTTATTGTATGCACATACTTTGGACATCAATTTATATTGATGTTTTTCTGTAAATAGTATTTATACGTTTGTAAATTTGAAAATGAAGATGCCACTTCTTTTACTATTTTTCAGGAGGCTACAAAAACAGTGCAGCCACAGCTTTTAGGGCGGATAATTGCATCATTTGACCCGGTCCATGAACCGGAGCGAGCCAATGGTTACTTTCTTGCCTTTGGTCTCGGCTTGCTATTCACTGCCCGCTTTCTCCTGCTCCAGCCTGCCATGTTTGGGCTGCACCGCCTGGGCATGCAAATCAGAATCGCACTCTTTAGCATAATCTATAAAAAGGTTTGTGTCTAGTTATTTCTGTCTACAATCATTTGTCCCTGATGCCAATATCTTTCCTCAAATAATGGATCAAATTTAAGCCATCTATTGCTAGCACAAAAAATTAAATAAAATAACATTATATTAAAATAACAGTGTATTAAGTACATGAATTTCTCCTAATCTTGACCCTTAGACCTTGAAACTTTCTAGCCGAGTTTTGGACAAGATAAGCACAGGTCAGCTGGTCAGTCTGATGTCAGCCAACCTGGGCAAATTTGATCAGGCAAGTTTAAAATGAGCAAATGACGTAAGTCCCTCATGTTTACTGGATGGTAGGTCTCCTGTGATACTCTGTTTTTTTTTGTCTTTAACCTGTACAACACACCTGTGAAAAATCAAAAATTCCTTTATATTGACACAGTACATTGGGCCCTAATTTTACAGAATTGTGTTTTTAAAATGCATAGATACTACCATCCAAAAGTTTTGGTTGGTTAGATTTCTTTAATAAAGGAACTATTTTAAATGCTCACCAAGGCTGCATTAATTTAATTTATTCAATAATAATTATGAAATATTATTACAATTTAAAATAACTATTTTCTATTTAAAATTAAATTGATTCCTTTGATGGCAAAGCTGAATTTTCAGCAGCCATTACTCAAGTCTCACATGAATCAGTGTGACATGATCCTTCAGAAATCATTCTAATATGCTGATTTGGTGCTCAAGAAACAATAAGCATTGTTAAAAACATTTTGTGCTGATTAATATTTTTGTGGAAATCGTGATACATTTTTTCAGGATTCTGTGATGAATAGAAAGTTCAAAAGAACTGCATTTGTTTGAAATAGAAATCAATTGTAAGAATATGAAAGTCTCTACTGTGTTTCTTTCTTTCAAAAAATAAATCAGACAGACCCCAAACTTTTAAACGGTAGTGTGTGTGTATGGCCAATTTGTAAAGAGGCTGACCATTAGAAATGAATATACTGCTGCTAACATGTTGGCTGAGCATTAAATTTAGCATAATGCTTCAGTGGGGAGCGTAGCTGAACTCTGGAACGTCCTAAGAAGGTAGAGCCAATGTGCTGAATATTGATACACTCTGTAAGTGGTCTGAAGCAATTAGCACCTGTGTTTAATGTGGGTACTTCGAGTGTCCTTTCCTTGGAATGTGTGAGATGGTTTTCTTATGTTTTGTACCACTGTAAATGTGCAGAGGCTCCTAGGCGTCAGCTTTTGGCATAAATGTATAAACACATGAATAAATAAAGATTATTGTTTTTAATTAATTACTCAAATTTAATACTATGCATGTTGTATTTCTTCTTCTTTTTTTTTTTTTGGTATAGATCCTGGGTATGGCCCATTTTGTATGGATATCACCATTGCAATGCATCCTGTGTACAGGGCTTATCTGGGAACTCATTGATGTCAATAGCTTCTGTGCACTTGCCGCTATCTCTTTGCTGGGTGTCTTGCAGGCCTTTCTCTCACATAAAATGGGTCCTTACAAGTAAGTGTTAAATTTACTGTTGGCCTACATTGTAACACCAAAAAGTGAATCTTGCCCAAAGATGTTCCCATTTGGGAACTCAAACTGGCACAGCTTTGTTTTAGAGATGTCTCTCCGAATATGCTCCCACAGAAACACACATTCCAGCTGTGATTCATGCTGGTTACAGGCTTTGAAGAGTTTGGACAGGTAGTTCACTTCTGCTTCTGTAATCAGGAGGCTGGTTAGCCTTGTGCCTTTGAGAAATGTAAACAATGTTGGTCAGAACCGCTACTGAGACAGATTGCCACACACAAACTCACAATCAATTTTAATTCAGTATCTAAATTGTCTGTATTCAGTGCCTTCATTCATGAGACAACATCATAGACATTAGTCAGATGTATTATGTATAGGATGTGAAGTTCTATAAGAACAGACACTTCATTACAATTTTCTGCCTTTTTCTGTTTTCCTTTAGAGCACAAAAGGTGCTACTGACTAACAAACGGTTGGCTCTGACCTCAGAGATCATGGAGAACCTGCATTCAGTGAAGGCCTATGGCTGGGAGGAGATAATGGAGACCCTGATCAAGAACATCAGACAGTAAGTCCCAAACAGTTTTGTTGGATGTTCTGCACTTGTTTTTTGCTTTTGCATAGCCAGGCCTTTGACAATCAAGAAGAGAACGTCTGACAAACTTTTTTTTTAAGGGACATACTTATCTGAGATAGATTATATCACAATAATCGACTGCATTGGGGGGAAAAATGGAAATATAGGAAAGTAAATGTGTATTGATACCCCTAATGGGAGCAGCCGAAGGAGAGAGAGAAATATATATTGATGTTTAGATATAGAAAGTTTGTACACTACCTTTCAAAACTTTGGAGTTGGTAAGATTTTTAAATATTTTTTAAGAAGTCTCTTATTCTCACCAAGGCTGCATTCATTTGATCAAAAATATGGTAAAAACAGTAATATTGTGAAATATTATAATTTAAAATAGCAGTTTTCTATTTTAAAATATTTAAAAATGTAAATTATTTCTGTAATGGCAAAGCTAAGTTGTCAGCAGCCATTACTCCAATTTTCAGTATCATATGATATACAGGTGCTCAAGAAACATTTCCTATTATTATCAATGTTAGAAAGTTCAAAAGAACAGCATTTATGTGAACAATACATTTTTGTAACAATGTAAAATTCTTTACTGTCACTTTTCATCAATTTAATGCATTCTTGCTGAGTAAAAGAAAAAAAAAAGATCTTAACCGACCCCAAACCTTTGAACAGTAGAATGTGCTTATAAAAAAAAAATACATATACATATATATATTTTTTTTTCTTTCTTTTTTTTTTACTTATATATATAGTTTTTTTCACAGACATTACTCAAAAAACAGAGTGGACTATATAGTTTTGCTCATAGTAATCTAGTTAAATTGTTACTAAGTGCCTTTAACAAATTTCTGAAAATATTTCAGAAACTTTGGCAAATTTAGTCAACCCAGAACTTTGTATAAAAATTGTTTTCAGGCAAATTGCTACAAATTTTGAGTTTGCCAAATTGAGAAGTGCTAATGAGTAATTTAATTAAAGTTAATATTAACAGTTACAGTTGATATTTCAGTTACTTACATTTCTCTCCTAATGCTTTAATTCCTACTTCTTTAATAGTAAGTGAAGTTCTTTCATAAGAGATTTTGGATCAGAATAGTTGGCCTGGATCAGAGAAACTTGAAGCCACAGTCTCCCGCTGTTTCTCTGTAGTATTACATTTATGGCAGCACACGGTATGCCTTTGTGTTTTTGTTATTAGCTCAGTCTCGGAGAATCAATCTGTCGTTGTTTTTTTAGCTATTTGATATCTCATGACACAGTCTCCAAATATCCTACCCATGTGACATTCTCCTTTAAGGTAAGACAAGGCAAGGCACGTTTATTTATATTATTTATTTATTATAATTAATAATATAGTTTATTTATTTATTTATTTATATTATTTCATACACAATGGTAATTCAAAGTGCTTTACTTAAAAAGGATTCAAAGTAATTCTAAAATAATCACAACATATGCAAAAGGAATAAAAAATAACAATACAAGCAAAGAATTGAAGATGATTAAAAATTGATTTAAAATGCATAAAAACAGTTAAGAATAAAAAATAGAAGGACATATACATAAGATACAGTGCAATCAGTCGAACGTAGCACAGTGCTCATTCAGTAAATGCACAGTTAACAGATGTGCGTTGAGTCTGGATTTAAATATGGCTACTGTAGGAGCACATCTGATCCCCGGTGTAAAGACCTGAGGACTGGTGCGATTTGCTCAGATTTTCTGGTTCTGGTCAGAATCCTGGCAGCAACGTTCTGTATGAGCTGCAGTTTTTTGGGACTTCTGGTGAGGAGTCCATTACAATAATCCACCCTGCTAGTGATAAATGCATGAACAAGTGTCTCTAAGTCTTGACTGGAAACAAAACATTTAAGCCTTGCAATATTTTTAAGATGGTGATTTAGTTATTGCTTCGACATGAGAGACTTAAGGTCTGACTCCAGAATCACACCGAAATTCCTGACTTGATTTTTTGACCCTTAGAGTCAAGGTATGCATTTATCTTGAGAACTTCATCTTTGTTTCAAAATTTAATAACAGTTTTCTCTTTGGTTAACTGAAGCAAACTGTGGTGTATCCAACTGTTCATTTCATCAATGCATTGGCAGAGGGAGTTAGTGAGGCTGTAGTAGTTAAATGAAGGGCAAGGTAAATTTGGGTGTCATCTGCATGGCTTTGATAGGCAGTTTGGTTCTTTCTCATTATTTGGCTCAGTGGGAGCATATACAGGTCGAGCAAAAGTTGTGCAAGAACTGAGCCTTGAGGCACTTGAGGGACATGTTTGTCATTCTTTCTTCCTGTAAACTGTTTGTAGGGATGAGGTGAGGCTGACCAGGAAGATTGGCTCCCTGCGCTATTTTTACAGCTCTGCATACTTTTTCTCAGCCATCTTTGTGATTGTGGCCGCAGTCGTCCCTCATGCCCTCAGCCGCGGTATCAACCTGCGTCGCATATTCACAACTCTCTCCTACTGTATGGTGCTGCGTATGACTGTCACTCGACAACTGCCCGGCTCCATCCAGATGTGGTACGACACCATACGGCTTATTTGGAAGATTGAAGTGAGTCTACACACTCTAAAACTAGCACAAGTGCAGCCCATTCTCACGGCCCCTTTCTGTGTGCTACACCATGAATTCCGACTTTAAAAATATTAGGGGATTCAGATGATTATAATAATTGCACATTTTAAAAATAAATGTAAAAAATAATTTATGTATTTAATGTCAACTTTTGTGGTTGATACTTGTAGTGGAACTACATACAGTACAAACTATTTGCAAAAAGTCTACATTTGTTTACATTGAGAGGAAGTTTTTTTTAACCAACTGAATCATTTGTGAATTTATTTTTGTAATAATGCCCTTTTAGGAATATGAATTATAATGCTAAATTATATCTGCTATAATATAGCTATAAAATTAAAGCATTTCTGGTTTGGTGTTAATAAAGGGAAAACACTCCTCTGTACTGTATTTCTGAAAGCACTCTGCTTGGCAGCATTTTATTATGTAATGCTGTAAACTTTGAGAGAATGTTGCTGTTACTGTGGTCTTCTCAGTATCCAGAACTCTACCTAAAACTTAAACTTACCTGTTTCCTCAAGGAATTTCTTAGTAAGGAGGAATACAAGTTAATGGAATATGATCTCAGCATCACAGAGCTGGAACTTAAAGATGTGACTGCTTCTTGGGATGAGGTATAGTTATGCATCCATAGCCTTAGATTTAGAACATCTCTCTTGAATTTCAATTCTGTCTCATCATATCCTTACCTTTCTTTTGAAAAAGACTGATTCTGTTCTTTTCGATTCTTTTCTAATTAGAAGCACGTTTAGAGAACTAATTGCAGTGCTCTTTGTTGACTGTTTCTTAGTCTATTTGGTTCAGTTCAGTAGCTACAAGACTATTGACTCACGAAGCCTAACTAAAGTCAACGATTAGCCAGGTCCTCCTTCTCCTCCTTCTACTCTCATCATCCCTTCCCTATGGGCACATGTGCGGTTTGTTTCAGTGAGACTGTCATGTACTTAAACTACATTAGGCGATATTCTCAATTGTATTCCTTTTCAGCATTTAAAGAAAAAGAGAGGAGTGATCCATATTTTTGAATGCATTCAGTGTGCATGTGTAGTGCAGTGTAAATACTCTCTGTCTGTGTTTCTTCAGGGTCCTGGTGAACTTTTGGAAAGGATAAAACAGGAGAACAAAGCTAATGGCCATCACAATGGAGATGTAGGTCTCTTCTTTACCAACCTATATGTGACTCCTGTACTGAAGGACATCAGTTTGATCCTGAAGAAAGGAGAGATGTTGGCTGTTACTGGTTCTATGGGCTCTGGGAAGGTAGGAGTGCTTGCCGTTATTTTCAAATCTGTCGTAAACATATATCAATGCAAGTTGTACTGACATTTTAAATAATATATTTATTATTTATATGAATAAAAATTATATTAGTTATTTATTATTATTTATTTTATAAATTATATTATATATTTATTATTATTTTATTTATCATTTATTTAAATTTAAGATTAGAGAAAAAGTATTGCTGATTAAAAAAAAATTCTACTTCTTTTCAGTCAGAAATTAGGGTAGGAAAAGAGACTAAACAATTCAAACAAATTATTCACAATTATAGTGAATAAATGAAAGGCCATTTAAACTACATTGTGAAACCTTTAATAAGCTGAAAAATATGCTAAAATATAAAAGGATGAGTAAAGCTAGCTGTTTAAAAGAAAGCAAACATTTGCTAAAAGGAAACTGTAAGGTTGTCATTGTTCAGACATAATTCCTGTATTTATAGAGCTCATTGTTGATGACCATCCTCGGGGAGCTGGTTCCCTCCTCCGGGAAGATCCGACACAGTGGTCGAATCTCCTACTCCTCCCAAACAACCTGGATCATGCCTGGCACCATCCGAGACAACATCCTTTTTGGTCTGACCTATGATGAGTATCGCTACAAGAGTGTGGTCAAAGCATGCCAGCTCGAGGAGGTACTGACAAATTAATGCTCTTCAGTCCACTCTTTGTCTCTGTCATTTCCTTAGTTTTACTCCCATCTCCAATTTCTCTCCCTTTGTGTATTTTTTTTTTATTTCTCTCTATTTATATTTCAGTCCCTCTGTCTACAGTATATTGCCTGACCTCACTCATCTCTTTTCTCAACCTAACTAGTCCTCCTCTTTGTCTTCTCCAGTGTTAATTTCGTTGACGAATCATTTTCGTCATAATGTTCGTCAACGACATTTTTTTCACAGACGACAACGAGACGATAACGAACTAAAACTCTTTTTGAATGACAAAATATTACTTGTGTTGAATTTCTGTGGTCAGTTCAATTTCATGCTCATACTCATTCATTGCCATTTAAAAGTTAAAATATTTTTAAATAGCTGCCTTTATTTGATTTAAATGACTGTAAAAATATTATTGTGAAAAATTCTGCCAATGTAAAACTTTTTTTTTGTAATACATTCTAAAATGTATTCCTGTGATGGCAAAGCTGAATTTTCAGCATCATTACTCCAGTCTTCAGTGTCACATCCTCCTTCAGGAGTCATTATAATGTGCTGATTTGCTGTTCAAGAAACATTTCTTATTTTATCAGTGTTCCGGTTTTCTGAGCCATACACACACAGAAAACACGTCTCATAGCACGCGAGTACTCGTTCACGTCGCATGAACGGAGAATTACACACAAAATGATGTCGAATTGTCCGTTTTGACGAGTATTCACGTAAACACAGTTGATTACGTCTTAAGTGAACGTAAACAGCAGGGAGAACGTGTATCTGTACATTGCATCCATTGCAGCTGTGCATTCGGTTTTAAAGGGATAGCAGCATAATTTAGTTGCTATTGTCCGAGTCATTGATGTTAATCAAGCAACAAAAGAAAGACAGAAAATCACGCACTGCTCTTGACTGAAAAACTTTATCCAGAGCCACCGAGAAAGCAACTAGGGCTTTCCGTACTTTGTAATACTGGGTTAGCAAAAACCCGACCAGGGATTTCCTCTGCTGCTATCCTGATATCATTCACTCATCATCCACAACTGATGAGCAACAAGCTTCATGGCAGGGATCCCAGAAAACTGCGCAACCCTATTGTTTTTCAGACAAGAGGAACTAAAGGCATTGTCTTGTCTATAGAAATGGAAAGGAATGTTGCAAGGAAAGCCGTGGTGAATGAGAAAAATGTGATGATTTAATGATATCATGGGTAGCTGAACTTGTGGATTAGTTAATTTTGTTTATGAGGTCATAACAAAGGACAGAGGGCAGGACTTTTATTTCTTCCTTCCTTTTCCTGACCCCTTCTGCTATTGGAAATGTGTAGCACAGATGATGGCAAAATACAAGTGCTTGATATTGACAGTTAAAGGTAGTAGTTGACCCAAAATTTGATAACTGAATTGAAAATGCACTTCATTAAAAAGAAGACCATGTTCTTGTTCTTTATGAGAAGTGGTTTTATTTAATTTAACATAAAGGCATGTTGTGTGTCACCGCAGTTAAATCGGTGTCTATCATGATAAAACCTTAATATCAAACCTATATAATGAATTTGGAAATTTTGGAGAAATGCTTAATAAACGCATTACACTGTAACTAAACCCATTTGATTTCAGTCGACTAAAATTTTATGATATTTAGTCGACTAAAACTAGACTAAAACTAAAAACAATTCAGATGACTAAAATATGACTAAAACTAAATCAAAATTTGCTGTCAAAATTAACACTGGTCTTCTCTCATGTTTTTGGCTCCTGGTTTGCTTCTGTTTCTGTCTTCCCTCTCTCTCTCTTTCTACATGGAATGTTCACCTGGCAATTGAACTGAGAACCTTTGTTAGACAGAAATGTGTCATATTACTCTGCTCATGGTTTTCTCCCCTCACCCTCAATCTCTTGATACCAAATCAGCCAATCATGTGCAACTATCAGCAGCCAAAGTGTTGAGTGACAGGCCCCTTGTTTAATTGAGTCTTACATGAAAGGACGGTCAAGTGATCTGCTGAGAACACATTCATGTCCAGGCATTAGTCTGATGTGTGAGATTTATCCATGCTAGTGGATGAGATTTGTCTAGTGAAAATCATAATGTAAGTCTGCAAACACGGCAAAACTTAAATTATATTCACAAAGATAAAGATTTCACATTTTCAGAGAATATATAGTGAATTAATGATAATTACTTTTTTTCACCAAATTGGCAAATATAATTTTTTCTTTCTTTCTTGTTTTAAGCATAAATCTGACAAAACTGATAAAGTTTAGGCTGAAAACAAGAAGAAAAAATTATTAAAAATGATTATTTTCTCAAAATAAGTCACACAAAATATATATTTTAATGCGTTTTTACAGATTTTTAAATAAAATTAATTACAATTATTTGCTGTGTAAAAAGTGTATTTTTATATATTACTGTTACATAATATTATATATATATATATATATATATATATACTGTCATTCAAAAGTTTGGGATCAGTAAGACTTGTAAGCATCATTACTCCAGTCTTCAGTGTCACATCCTCCTTCAGAAATCATTCTAATATGCTGATTTTTCTCTTAAGAAATTTGTATTATTGTCAAATTTGAAAACAGTTGCTTAATATTTTTGTTGAAACTGTGATACATTTTTTTTTCAGAATTCTTTGATGAATAGAAAGTTCAAACATTGTTCAAACAGTTCAAATATTCAAACATTTATTTGGAATAAAATAGTTTTGTAGCATTATACTGTGCTGTAAATGCCTTTACTCTCACTTTTGATCTATTTAATGTGTCCTTGCTGATTAAAAGTATAAATTATTATCATAAATTATCATTTATATAGAGAAGGGTGGTGTCAAGCCCCAAAATATCAAATGGCCTGTAGACCAAAATGAAGTTGATGTGGGTGCTACACTGGAGGAATGCACTGAATGACTCTTTTGCTTTGTTTGTCACACAAAGCTATTGCTTCAGAAGATTTAAAATTAAATTAATATACATTGTCGACATCTTCAGTTCTTCTCTCATCACAGCTCGTAGCCCCATTTTCTCCCACCTCATCATCTCACTGAAGGGTTTGTGGACCATCAGGGCCTTTGAGCGGCAGGCCTACTTCGAGAACCTGTTCCACAAGACCGTCAACACCCACACAGCCACCTGGTTCCTCTACCTGTCGACCCTACGATGGTTCCTCTTCCGCTCAGACATCATCTTTGTGTTCTTTTTCACGCTGACCGCCTGGATTGCGGTAGGAACCAACCGTAAGAGCGCTCCTCCATCTGTATCTAGGCAAGAGTGAACCAAGTGAATAGGAGAGCATGTGAAAAAAAGTGAAAAATGACGTGACATGTGGCCAAGTATGGTGACCCATACTCGGAATTAGTGCTCTGCATTTATCCCATCCAAAGTGCACACACACAGCAGTGAACACACACACACCATGAACACACACCCGGAGCAGTGGGCAGCCATTTTTTTGTTGCGGCGCCCAGGGAGCAGTTGGGCGTTCGGTGCCTTGCTCAAGGGCACCTCAGTCGTGGTATTGAAGGTGGGAGAGAGCGCTGTACATTCTTTTTTTTTTTTTTTTTTTTTTTTTTTTTTTTTTTTCTTAGATGTTTAATCATAATTAATTAACATAGTGTGTTTCTGAATGGTGAGTCTGGGACATTTACAGTCTGTGTCGGTTCCCATGTTTCCCATAGGGAGAAAAGTGAAAGTGTTTCCTCTCAAACAAAGCATGTTTTCACAGCTGGTGATTACCAGCGCAATTTATGACTGTTTGTTACGAAATATCCAGACTCTAATAACAGAAGATCTTATAGAGCAGTGTGAGGTGGCTATTGCCATCACAATGGTAGGCTTGGCCATAACAACAGAGTGTGAGAAGTTAGCCGTCTGTGTGCTAACTAGCAAGAAGCTGCAAAGTATTGTTATTTACTGTACATAATGAGTCTTTATTCAGTCTATGCTGATAGACTGACACTTACGCTTTCCCAGCGTACTTAATCTTCTGAGTCACGCATTAGAAACAAGCTCTCAATGCAAACAGCAAGACTAGCAGGATCTAATAAATGGATTTGTGGAGTTTAAAATGTAAAGTAGAAACGCCCATGTTTAGTGGGCTTGTGTTATCCATGTATTTCCTTTGTGGCACTGATATACCTGCATTTTAGTCCTTATTCATGTTGTGTCTGGGCAGTAAACCCTGGCATTTCCATCTTAAAGACAGTAGCGCTCCTGATTTGTTTGTGTAGGGTTTTAAAAAATCTTTCTCACTGCATCACTGCATTTAATTATTATTTTTAATGCTCCTACAACGGACAAACAGAGTTGATGACAAGGTAAGTACTTCCTACATGAGAATTATTCATCTCAAATGGTATGTGGTCCCTGCTAAGAAAAAAAGCTTAAACCAGACTAACATAAATCAGGCTGGTCTGTTGGTTTTAGAGGGGTTTTGGGAACTTGTCAGCTAGCCAGGCTAGCCAACCAACAACCAGCAAGCTAAGACCAACAAACCGTCTTAGGTGGTTTAATTATTTTTTAAGCATGAGTGTTTCCATTAATTTATGTCAAAATGGTTTTTAAAGGAACACTCCACTATTTTTGAAAATAGGCTCATTTTCCAACTCCCCTAGAGTTAAACAGTTGAGTTTTACCGTTTTCGAATCCATTCAGCCGATCTCCGGGTCTGGCGGTAGCACTTTTAGCTGTAGCTTAGCATAGATCATTGAATCTGATTAGATCATTAGCATCTCGCTCAAAAATGACCAAAGAGTTTCTATATTTTTCCTATTTAAAACTTGACTCTTCTGTAGTTACATCGTGTACTAAGACCGACGGAAAATGAAAAGTTGTGATTTTCTAGGCCGATATAGCTAGGAACTATACTCTCATTCCGGCATAATAATCAATGATATTACGCAGTGGCTGAAAATAGTCCCCAGCTAGGTAACTTCCAATAAGCCTATTTTCAGGAGCTGTGTAATATCATTGCGCGTGCTCTGCATTTATCCCATCCAAAGTGCACACACACAGCAGTGAACACACACACACCATGAACACACACCCGGAGCAGTGGGCAGCCATTTTTTTGTTGCGGCGCCCAGGGAGCAGTTGGGCGTTCGGTGCCTTGCTCAAGGGCACCTCAGTCGTGGTATTGAAGGTGGGAGAGAGCGCTGTACATTCACTCCCTCCACCTACAATCCCTGCCGGTACGGGACTCTAACCCACAACCTTTGGGTTACGAGTCCGACTCTCTAACCATTAGGCCACGACTTCCACGACTGTAGAGTGAGCGGATGCCACTGTTTATTTGACGGTTCTCTGTGGGTCCAAAAAGTCAATGAACGCTTGATCTAGTGGGTTTTACAGACAATTGGTTTTATTAAGAGGTAATTGCGAGCAGTGCTTGGAAAATGCCTTTGAAGTAGAGAAGTGAGGTCATTGTGAGCAACCTTGTACTAGATGTTTATACTTGCTTGTTGGTGCATGTGAATGTGTGTGCGTTATTCCACAGAGGATAAACCGGGCGAGATTGGTATCGTCATATGCCTGGCAATGCTCATTCTAGGCACCTTCCAGTGGTGTGTTGCCACCAGCATTGCGGTAGATGGAATGGTACGTGCCTTTTTGGTTTTCCTCCCTGAAAACTGCATGTTTTTCAGTTGTTCTTAACTGCAGAAATTGTCCTGTTCTGTAATGCTGTCGAAAATATTGTCTGAGTGAGTTTTTTTTAAGTCACTGACGGGGCTTATCAAGGTGCAGAACGTTTTGTTTTCCCTCACTATGACCCTATCAGGAGAATAGTTTACAATCACACTGATACGCATTTATACAGTAGTGGCGCTTTATTTTTGCCACATGGTGTAACTGTGTGCGCATTTGTACTCGCACACACAAACACAGAGGCTAAGCATCATTTAAAGGCTAAACAAACCACATGCAGCTTGGACCTCAGTGGACCTGATTATATCATAGCTCTTCTAATCCTTCTTCCTCCAGATGCGATCCGTTGACCGGGTTTTTAAGTTCATCGACCTACCGTCTGAGACACCCAAACCGGATAAAAGCAAATACTCAGATCTGATTATCGAGAACGTCGATGCACGGGCCGACTCAAGCTGGCCCAACCGCAGTCAGATCGATGTGCAGAATTTAACAGTCAAATACACAGAAGGGGGTCACGCTGTCCTTAAGAACCTCTCCTTCACTGTGGAGGGTGGACAGAGGGTACGTACAAGCAATTTCCAGGCTTAAACTCCTCTTTAAAATGCAAGTGTTAAACAGTTTCAGAAAAATAAATGCTAACATGCAAACCTTTCATCAAATTGCGCGTTCTGTAAAAGAGTTGTCTCACAGCATGACATTACAATGGGCTATATCTTGAATTATGCTATGCTTTTAAACAGTAGGGTCTAAAAGTCAAATACTATTAGTTAAAATGCTTAATTTTTTCATTACGTATTTTCTGCATCACATTTGACCTTTTGTGTAAAGGAGTTTAGGAGTTCAGTGTCACAGATTTGTTTTAGATTTGATTAGTGGCCTAGAAATGGAAATATAGAATCTAGAATTGGAAATATTTCTTATTTATTTTAGGTCTTAAATTTTTGTTTTGTTTTATATTTTCCAAAATCTTAAAACTTTATTTTTATTTCCAGGTTTAAATTTTCAATCCCAGAGCTTCAATTTGTGGATGTTTGCGTTGTACTGCCCTACAAAGGCGAAATGCAGTAACTACACCAACACCATATATCTTTTTCAAAATCTGAGCATAATTGTGCCAAGTCACGGGACTTGATTTCGGGTTTGACAAAGTTACTGCATTTTGCCTTTGTACCAAAATGTAGGCGATAGGCAACTAAAGAGTCTCATGTGATCAGCCTTATACCTTTTTCACACTCATTTCTGTGAGTTCTGTGATGTATCCACGTGAGACTGGCTTCTTGTCCAAGCTTCTAACAGAATATGTTCCATGTATTGCTGAAGATGCACTTCTATAGCATCAGAATCAGAATCAGAATCAGAATTAGCTTTATTCGCCAGGAACACCTGCAGTTTACCAATTGTTTCTGCTGTAAGTGTGTGTTGTCTTGTGTCTGTGTTCTGTTGTAAAATAGCATATGGTGGTTGGCTTTCCCTAAATTTCTCAAAATGGCATTTCCATCTTACTTTCCTTTGCTCTGTATGATAATATTGTCTGTTTTATTATTAGGATCTGGCTGCTCTTCCTGAGAAGGATAAGACGCCTATGGCTGAGGGGGGTTTAAACTTGAGTGGGGGTCAGAAGGCACGTGTGGCTCTAGCCAGGTATGTCACACATTTTCTCACTCCCCTTGAGCATCTCTCAACTCCTCAGATGTACACCAGCACCTGTAGTTTAAGCCACGCTGGAGTCCTCACTTGCCCCATGGCTGCTCTTTCCCACAGAACTTTAGTGAAGAGAGTAAATCATATATGTTTTGACATATATGACACAGATTTTAATGACTGTCAAAACACATTGTTACATCACATCAGGAAGTTTGTTCTTGGATCTCTTTTGGATTTACATGGCCATAAACTCAATGTTAAAGTTTACAATTCAATACAATCTTGCTGCAGCCATAAATAAAATGAGAGTTTGACAAGCTTTTATTGTTTGTATTGTTTGTACGAAAGCTTCCCTGTGTCAGCGCTGTTGTGACATAATAAGTTTATATTGTTAGTACGTCTTATTATAGTGTGCAGAGTTTACCATATTAAAAAAATCCTTAAAATTGTTTATTAAGGCAAGGCAAGGCAAGTTTATTTATATAGCACATTTCATACACAATGGTAATTCAAAGTGCTTTACAAGGTGCTCCTGGTACATGCATACATACAGTACATACATACATACATACACATCTGACATGAGAACAGAAAAAAAACATTTAAATAGTAAAACTTAACAATAAATAATGTGTATGAATCTGGAACAGTAGATTTATGTACAGATTTATGCATTTGTACTCTATATAGAACTGTATAAATAAGAGATATCCATATGTATTTACAAAATAATTGAGAAAAAGGCAATAATTAAAGATGTAGAATGAATTACGGAAATGAATTACAGAACACAGGTGTTTAAGCTGGAGATGGCATTGGGGAAAAAACAGTTTTTATGCCTAGATGTTCTAGTGCGCAGAGATCTGTAGCGTCTGCCTGAAGGGAGAAGTGCAAACAGGTTGTGTACGGGGTGAGAGGGGTCTTTGATGATGTTTCCTGCCCATTTCTTCACTCTGGAGTTGTACAAGTCCTGAAGACTGGGCAGGTGCCAGCATGTAAATCTGTTTACTGGTTTTGTTTTATTGTGAAATTTCAGGTCAGATTGATCATCTTTTTCAGGTGGGTATCTTGGGCCGAACAGGTTCTGGGAAGAGTTCTCTGTTCAATGCTCTCTTGAAGCTGGTTTACACAGATGGTGATATCTCCATCGATGGGGTCAACTGGAACAAAATGCCACTTCAGAAGTGGAGGAAAGCCTTTGGTGTGATGCCTCAGGTAACAACGGTTCTGGGAACATCCTCTCTCTTCATTACATCTCATGATATATTTTTGTAAATATCTCCTTCCACACCACCACAGAAAGTCTTCATCTTTACGGGACCATTCCGCATGAACCTAGACCCTTACGGTTGTCATAGTGATGAGGAGCTGTGGCGGGTCACGGAGGAGGTGGGTGTCTTACAAGTTTCGTCTTCCGCCACGTCCGCTCAGCTTTTCTACATTGTCTTTTCATACTCTATTAAATAACTTTATTGAATAACTTTATTGAATAAACTACATGTTTACCTTTGAAATAAACTTAATTTGTATTTAAATTATCAGACTGTCACTAGTTAAAAATAACTATCTGAAAATGTTATTCAGTAATATCATTTTTTTCTGCACAGGGCTATTTACAGAGATGCTGATGTCTACCTACTTGACGCACCGTTTACTCACCTGGATATTGCAACAGAAAAAGAAATATTTGACAAGTATGCATATGGATTAATTTAACTAAATATTGAGCTACCCCATTTTTATCATGTAGCATTTTGACTTTCATTAATTCTAAGATTGCTTTTTGCCTATTTTCCGATGCGGTAGACTGGGGATCAGAATTTCTGTCTGTCCAAATGTAATAAAAAAAAAAATTCCACTAAGTGCATAAAACAAAAAAACATATTTTTAGGATTTCCATCTGAAGTTAATAGAGTGCAACAGTTGGATTCCAGAAGTAAAAATCTTGTTGATTTTAAAAATAATTTGCAATAAAAAATTATAAACGAAGACAGACCTACTATGAGGTTATTAATTGATGGTGTATGCTTTTGTTGAAGGCATCAGCAATGCATTTCAGCTTATTTTTTAAATAATCATGTTTAACAGTGGAATTCCTGGTAAAAACATTACCTATTATTCTGCAAAAAAATCTCCACCAATCAGAGAATTGAAATGAGCAAATTGTACTAGAAGAACTCTTTAGTGCCCATCCAGTCCCATAAAACACTCCAATGACATGATATATAGTATATAATATATAATAACATTCCATATGCTCTAAAACTATTTGTATATATACACATATACATAATATTATCTGCATATATATAGCTACTATATTGTTTCTAAATGCATTTTCAACATCTTTTAATCAATAGTTTTATATTTTGCAATCATTTTTATTTAGATTGTGTCAGTTGCAATGCTTGATGGGATTGTAGTTCTTTCCCTCATTAAGTAACTTATCTATCTTTTTGTCTGATTTTCAAATCATTTTTTGCTTCAAATCAAAGTTTGTAATGTTGTGATTCACCGCCTAGTTGCTTGGTTTGGTTAATGGCTTATGACTCTTAAAATAAGACTTTTTGTAAATACTAATGGGAAAAATACTTCAAGAACCAAGTCTGCTAAAAAAGTGGGCAGGTACTGTTGTGCTCTATACACAAATATCAAATGAATTATGACTTCTTACCAATGAATGGGACTAAATTGAAAAGAGATGACAACACATACTGTACTGGAATTAATTTTAGCTCATATGTCAGAAATATTGCTGCATAACCTCATTTTTATTTATTTACCCAGATGTCTGTGTAAGCTGATGGCCTCTAAGACACGCATCTTGGTAACAAATAAGATTGAGCATTTAAAGCGGGCTGATAAGATCCTACTGCTCCACAACGGTGAAAGTTTTTTCTACGGCACTTTTTCAGAGCTTCAGTCAGAACGGCCTGATTTCAGCTCTTTGCTTTTGGGTTTGGAGGCCTATGACAATGTCAGTGCAGAGCGCCGCTGCTCCATCCTCACAGAGACTCTCCACCGCGTCTCGGTGGATGAGAGCGCAGGCATGCGACCTGAACGCTCAGCTTATCGCCAGGTGGCCCCATCCATGCCCATGTACATAGATGAAAGAAAATCTTCAGTTATCGTCAACACTCTCGGAGCAGCTCGTAAGGCATCCTTCATTCAGATACCTGAAGAAGAGGCTCAGAGGACATTACCTGACCGGAAGTTCTCCCTGGTACCAGAGAACGAACTAGTGGATGAGTCCTTTATGGGGAGCGACGTGTATCATAACCACGGAGTGCATATGGCTGGTCAGAGGAGGCAGTCGGTGTTAGCTTTCATGACCAATGCACAAGGCCAGGGCCGTCGTGACCACCTTCAGTCATCTTTCCGCAGACGGCTGTCCGTCGTGCCTCAGAACGAACTGGCATCTGAGCTGGACGTCTATGCTCGCCGTCTGTCAGACAGCACGTATGACATCACCGGGGTCCTAGAGGAAGAGAATATTGAGGTGTGGAAATTTCTTGCACTTACTGCAACATATTACTTTACACACTAGGCTTTAAATTCATCTGATTTGCTTCTCTTTGCAGGCTTGCTTAGTTAATGAAATAGATGAAAAAGAGGAGTTATTTGAAACAACAAAGTGGAACACATACGTCAGATATGTGTCAAATAATAAAAGCCTTCTGTATGTTCTGATCTTCATCTTCCTTGTTGCTGCAATTGAGGTAATCTGATATAATCTGTACTGACATGTTCTGCATTACAAATGAATATTCTTGATGTGTTATTATTATTAAGATTTTTTTTAAAGAAATTAATTTTATTCAGCAAAGATGCGTTAAGTTGATCAAAAGCGACAGTAAAGACTTCAAATAAAGATTTCAAATGAATGCTGTTCATTTGACTATTCCATTCATCAAAGAATCCTGAAAGAATTCAGCTTTGCCATCACAGATATAAAATACATTTTATATGCATAAAATATATTACAATAGAAAACAGTTCATTGAAATTCTTTCAAAAACATTAAAAAAAATCTTACAGACCCCAAGCTTTTACACAGTTCTTTTTGAACAGTGTGGATCTAGATTTACTATCCTTAATTCTTTCTTGTGTGTTATTAGGTTGCAGGATCTGTAGCAGGGATTCTTCTGATTACTGAGTAAGTGTTTTTCTTTACCTCATTTTCCAGTGATCTAGTCTTCTAGGCAGAACTAAACTCTTTCGTTGACAAGCATTCTTCAATTCATAGTGATGAGGAGCTGTGGCGGGTCACGGAGGAGGTGGGTGTCTTTGCTGCAGGGGTCCAGAGCAAATGATCAATGACTGTGAGGTCAAGCGGTTTCATGACCCTTTTTTCCAGAGCAATTCAAAGAAACTGGAAAAGCGTCATCTCTACTGCTGGGACTATGGCAACACTTTATTTGCCACTGAGCACTTAAGGGTGAAGGGTGTAATTCGTAATTCATACAACAAATTTCTAACAACCCGGGTTTCAAACAGCAATGGCTTAACCATTGGTTAAGCCAACGATGTCATGCTGGAAAATTATTATATTTGTAAATTAAAATGATTTAAAATAATATTAATAATAAAGACCAGAGATAGTATAGACAGCAAATAGGTTCTTTAAATAGTCAATTCACTATAAAACTATAAAAATTAAACAAAATAAATTAAATATTATAAATGTATTAAAAATAAAAAATAATAGCTTAAAATGAATAATTAAACATAAAATAAAATTATGAATGAAACAAAAACATTTACAATAAACTTCAAGTACAAATTAAATATTAGCTTTCTTAGCTAGCTATACACTTTCTATACCTAACAATTTTATGACAGAATCACCATCAAGGATTTCCAAGAAGTCATAAGACACTAAATCTAAACTGACCAAAACATGCCACTTTTGTCTTTGACTAAAATAAGTGCATTATTTTATATGCAACTTTTCGGTCATCTGATATTCGTCAGCCATTTAAAAAAAGCTTTTCTTATTTTGAACTGTTTGAACTTTTCTTAATTCCTGCCGTAGGTTGGAGGACTGAAACTTTGCATTCAAAATATTTCATGTGTTTGCAAGCTATGGTAGCCTATGGGATTATTTTTCTCCTGTTTATCAAATTAGTTATTATCTTATGCACCTACCATTTTTTTTGCTGTGTGAGGTTTCCTATTTGTTGTTTATAAAGTACGTGACCTTTTCTAAAGCAAAACATGAGGCCATCTGGCTATCCATTGAGAAAGGCCAGGACTTTTTTTGTGAACCAGCAATTATATGCTTAACCTCTAAATGTTGTCATGTCGGGCACAGAAATGACACACTTCGTCTGGTTCCCTTGTTCTTAAGTTATAATTTAGGTGTAATTTTTATGACAACATTTAAATTCTATATCATTTCTATTTTAGTCATCAAAAATCATTTAATGAAGGCAGAACATTATGAATGCTAGAGGTAATATATAAGTGACCAGTATGATCAACATAGCAATCCTTATGAATCATCTAGCAAACTGTGTATGTCCTGTTCTCCTCTTGTAAAATGCATAGACACTTTGCTGAAAGTATTTGCTTGATTTACAGTTATTTCTGTGTTCATGTGTGAAGGTCGGTCTTAAGACAGTGATTGAGCAGTTTCCAGACAAACTGGACTTCCAGCTGGAATACGGAGGCTATGTACTGAGTAACGGCCACAAACAGCTCATCTGTCTGGCTCGCTCTATCCTCAGCGGAGCCCGCATCCTCCTCCTGGATGAGCCTAGTGCCCACCTCGATCCAATGTGAGTCCCACTCCCAACACCACTGGCTGTCAAGTCCAAGTACAATTAATTCAAATCCTGGTAAATAATGGTGGCTTTGCTTTGTCTTTGTTTTCAGAACAATAAAGGTGTTAAAGAAGACATTACGACAGTCTTTCTCCACATGCACTATATTACTGTCTGAACACAAAGTGGAACCACTGCTCGAGTGCCAGTCTTTCTTGGTAAGGCTCTTGCACTACCTCGCTCCCATCAACACCAACTTAAATGTCATATTCCTCCTTTTTTTTTTTTTTTTACAATTATTGTTCACATTTTTACTGTTATTTGTACTGGAGACAAAAAGGCCACATAAATTAAAAGCTGTAAGGATCACTAGTTGCACCCGACAACAGCAAAAATATTGAGTGAGCATTTTTGTATTTCAGAAATTTCTGTCATGTAGTAGGGACAATTTATGTGTGGTTTTCAAAAAAGGCAAACATACACTACTGTTTAAAAGTTTAGGGTCAGTACGATGTAAAAAATAAATGCAATTAATACTTTTATTCAGCGAGGAGGATCCGTTAAATTGAAAAGTGACAGTAAAGACAGTAAATTGTTACAAAATATTTCTAATTCAAAATAATGCTGTTCTTTTAAACTGTATATTCATCAAAGAATTCTGAAAAAAAAAAGTCATGGTTTCAACAAATATTCTAAGCAGCACAACTGTTTTCAATACTGATAATAAGAAATGTTTTTGAGCAACAAATCAGCATAATAGAATGATTTCTGAAAGTGGCACTAAAGACAGGCTGCTTTTTTAATTACAGGAATAAATGTTATTTTAAAATATATTAAAATAGCAAAGTTATTTTGTTATTTTGTTGTTAAAGTTGTTTTTCCTATATTTTGATCAAATAAATGTAACCTTTGGTGTGCATGAGAGACTTAGCATGTATGTAAAAATATATTTTTCAGTTTGTCCTTGACTCCTCTGATCTCTGTTGCAGATGATGGACAAGGGTCAGGTGAAGACCTACGATTCCATTCAGAAGCTGCTGAATGAGACCAGTCATCTAAAGCAGGCCATAAGTCCAGCCGAGCGCCTCAAACTCTTCCCTCGCCGGAACTCTAGCATGCACGGCCCTCAATCCAAACTCAGCTCTGTTACGCAGACACTGCAAGAGGAGGCAGAGGACAATATCCAAGACACTCGCCTCTGAGCGTCTCAAACTGGAATTCATACAGAAACAATCAAGCTTAAAATGGTCTCCAAATGGTACATTATATTGGATGACCTATCATCAGAACATTTGACATTTATTATGAAAAAGATATGTATTTTTTCTAGGTACTCAATATCCTCTCACAATGGGACACAGTGAGGCCAGGAATAATTGAACACTGTAAAAATTGTATAATGTAACTTTTATGATTTATCTCAAATCAAATGTATTCTCTTATTTTTCTCTGAATATTTAATTTATTGTTAACGTGTGACCAACGTCTGGCATCCTTTGAAAGTGCAGCAAAATGGGATCATATGAATCATGTAAATGGCAAAACAATTACTCTATTTTCTTTATGCGTTTCATCGAATTAGGAAAGGCACAAACAAAAACACTGATTATTTTAAAGTGTAAATATATATACTTTTCTGTGAAACAAATATATTTTTCAAGACTACGCTTCTCTTGTTTTTTTTTTCTGTGTGGTCACCAGGAATGACCTCATTCCACTCTTATCTTGTGTTATAGTGAGAAGCTTCAGAGGACAGGACACAGAAACATAGCTGGTGATAAACGATTCCAGCTGAATGATTCGGTTTCAAACCAACACAATGTTAGCATTAGCTGTGTGGAGAAAGAAAAGCCAAGCGCTGAGGTGATGTCTAGGATAGTGCATTTTTAATCGTTGTGCTTGGAGGAAACAGGACACTCTCTCTGAACCTCATCCGAGAACTATAATACATTTAAACATCAGAGGTCGACTAGAATCTCTTCTGTACATATGAACAATACTGACTTTAAAATAATACTCGTTTATCCTAAATGTTCAATATAGAAGACAAATGAAAAGCGCCGATAATGCTCGCCGTTTCCGATTTCATAGTTGGGTTTCACAAAGTCAAAGTTCAAGCCAGACACTGAGAGTAATTGAAAATACTAATTATGGCTTAACGGACAAAAACTAAATATCCTGTGTTCGCAATGGTGTTACTTATTGCCACATTCAGTTCGTGAAAAAATATGAACCAAAATTTAATATTACAAACAATATATACACTTCTCATTTTCCCTTCAAAATTCCTCCAATGTACAAGCGTAATATCTCACACACACACACGCACGCACGCACGCACGCACGCACGCACGGCCGTCTGTCAGACAGCACGTATGACATCACCGGGGTCCTAGAGGAAGAGAATATTGAGGTGTGGAAATTTCTTGCACTTACTGCAACATATTACTTTACACACTAGGCTTTAAATTCATCTGATTTGCTTCTCTTTGCAGGCTTGCTTAGTTAATGAAATAGATGAAAAAGAGGAGTTATTTGAAACAACAAAGTGGAACACATACGTCAGATATGTGTCAAATAATAAAAGCCTTCTGTATGTTCTGATCTTCATCTTCCTTGTTGCTGCAATTGAGGTAATCTGATATAATCTGTACTGACATGTTCTGCATTACAAATGAATATTCTTGATGTGTTATTATTATTAAGATTTTTTTTAAAGAAATTAATTTTATTCAGCAAAGATGCGTTAAGTTGATCAAAAGCGACAGTAAAGACTTCAAATAAAGATTTCAAATGAATGCTGTTCATTTGACTATTCCATTCATCAAAGAATCCTGAAAGAATTCAGCTTTGCCATCACAGATATAAAATACATTTTATATGCATAAAATATATTACAATAGAAAACAGTTCATTGAAATTCTTTCAAAAACATTAAAAAAAATCTTACAGACCCCAAGCTTTTACACAGTTCTTTTTGAACAGTGTGGATCTAGATTTACTATCCTTAATTCTTTCTTGTGTGTTATTAGGTTGCAGGATCTGTAGCAGGGATTCTTCTGATTACTGAGTAAGTGTTTTTCTTTACCTCATTTTCCAGTGATCTAGTCTTCTAGGCAGAACTAAACTCTTTCGTTGACAAGCATTCTTCAATAATAATCTGGAGTTCATTTTAATCAATACACAAAATACTGCATTTTCACTTTTTTGTTGCAGTGAACTTTGGAATGAAGAGCATCAACGAGTTGAGCCAAATATGACAAAGTACTCCAACATGTCTTCACCTGGAAAAAAAAATGCCATCATTGTGACCCCGACAGGCAGCTATTACATTCTCTACATCTACGTGGCCACGTCAGAGAGCCTCCTCGCAATGGGATTTTTCCGGGGTCTTCCATTTGTGCACACTATGATCACAATCTCCAAGAAACTGCACCAGAAGATGCTGCATGCTGTTCTCGGTGCACCCATGTCTGTGCTCAATACCATGAAGACAGGTCAGTGTTATGTAAGGCTGAAATAAGTAGAAGTAAACCATATTTCCACCAGTCCAGTTTCTGACTTAATACTTTACCGCTTGTATCCCAATATCATTTTTACAGGTCGAATCATGAATAGGTTCACCAAAGACATGGCCACCATAGATGACATGCTTCCTCTCCTCATGTTTGACTTTGTCCAGGTTTGTGACTCCTTTAAAAACTTTTATTGTCAAAAGCCTTGTTTAAATCTTAATTTGTGTTACGAAGATGAACAAAGGTCTTACGGGTTTTGAACGACATGAGGGTGAGTTTTCATTAATAGATGGGTAGATGGATTTCAGCTTAGTGCAGCATTGATCACTTTTGCTTCTTGCGGTCTAACATTCTATCCACCTTTTTCTTCAACGCGGAAGTAAGCCTATGGGTGAGACTTCCGGTTCATTAGCCCCTATAGGTAAATAACGAGGAGAATAACAACGTGCAGTAAACGGTAAAACAGTTTGCACTACAAACCAGTGTGTTCATAATTAAGATAATACATTAAAATAATATGATAAGACACACCAAATTTCAATATCAAGCAGCAAAACGAACTGTTTTGTTCAGCTAAAAATAGCTGGATGGAGTGGACGCAGATGAGACCGGAAGCCAGACCCATAGAATTTACAAATGGCCGCGCCCATTTTTACGACAAGAAAAAGGTGGATAGAGTACAGTTTCAACTCAGTGCTATACAGCATACTAGATGATTAATGATTAGTAATTTCTCACACACAATATTGCCAGTTCTTCTGGCCAATATTGCCCACACCGTCTGGCAGTATGGAAGAGGTTTAACACTACTACTAGTGTTTAAACTAAATGAAACTTTTTAAAAATAAAGTGAAAAAGATTTTTTTATGTTTTTGCATTCTGCATTTATTTGATCGAAAATACAGTAAAAAAGTCATATTGTGGAATATTATTGCATTTGTAAAATAATTAATAATGAATATAATATATAATATAATAAATAATAATTTAATACATTTTATATGATATTATTTTATTTTAATATATTTATTTATTTTAATATGTAATATATTTTGTTTTAATTTATTCCTGTGATGGTAAAGCTGAATTTTCAGCATCATTACTCCAGTCTTCAGTGTCACATAAGCCTTCAGAAAAAATTCTAATATGCTGACTTGGTGCTCAAGAAACATTTGTGATATATATAAAACAATCTGAAAAAAAAAATAATAATAATCTGAAAAA